TTTGCTATTTTGACCTGTCCATCCTTTTTTTTCTTTGTGTGTGTGTGTGTGTGTGTGTGTGTGTGTGTGTGTGTGTGTGGTTTTGTCCCTCTAATTTTATCACTTCTCCACCAGTCTCCCAGTGCAAAAATGAACTAGTATACCAGTTATTTTTTGGATGGTAATGTCAGTATGTTAGGTGAAGTATAAAGTATATAGGTATATATAAGTATATAAAATCGTTCATGAACATGAAAGGAATAATATAGAAGGAAGTGAAAGATAAGGTATTGCTACAGCCATACTATTGAGTAAAATTGGCACAGTCTATTTAAGAATATTACATTCTATTGAGGTGTTGGTTGCAGACATTCCTTGGAGAATATTATCTAGACAGATAATAAGCACCTAAAGCTTCTATGGATAAACTGTTTTGGAGCGTATGGAGGTCTGTAATCTGAATTGTTTATATAATAGTCAACATCCCGGATACATAATATAGGCCTATAGTGCAGTATTTAAGTTAATAATGCCTATATGCAAACTGCACATTGTACAAAATTTATAAGCTTCTGGCTGTATGTTCAAAGCTCTGTTCAAGGCCTAAATCTAAAATGGATCTCTCACTCAATCCATGTCCTTAGCCTGAAAGACTGACTGTTTAAATTTAGTAGTCGCCTACACACTGAAGTTAACAAGTTAATGTAAAACATTTGCAAGGTAATGCATTAATTCACACGTTGATCCGCTGTCATAACCCAGTTTAATAAGTTGCAGTCCATTGACTATTAATTTGTTTTCAAATGGTGTGAGCAGGAGGAACGGTTCCAAAATGCTTTACTTTGCCACTAATGCAAATCAAAGTTAGTCTATCTGTTTAATATGCATGATTGGTTGGTGTAATGTAATTAAAATCATACTATTTAAATTACCCCAACAGTAAAAAAAATTAAACTTTAAATGTATTTTCAAAGTACACTTGCTTCTGCTGCAAAGAACAATTAATTTTAGGAACTAATTCATTTATTGGATTAAGCTTCACTGTTCTTTAAACACTATAAGATTTATTGGCCCTTTATTTCACCCTAATGGTACATGAGTTTGAAAGAGCATATTTGGAGATTGAATGTGTTGCACAGTTAGTTTTTTAGGTTACCCACAGATTGAAGTAGAAACCCGCTGAGGAACATTTCTGATTAACAACAACAGCTATGTATATTTCCAACAGCTAAGAATAATTGCTTTGTAACAAGATAGGATAATACCAATAGTCACTTTTATGAATTAGCCTACATTGAGACTTTTTCCTAAATGTTTTGTCATTTAGTTTCATCATTCTGACAGATGTCAAATATACTGTAGCTCATATATCTGGCTTCAGTTGACCAGTAGCTTTTCTTGATCATATTGAAAAAGCTGTAAATCACTCCACTGCACTACATCATATATCATATATCATATATCATATATCATATATCATATATCATATTTACAGCAGCAGTTTCTGCTCATGAAACTGAAGATGCCAGATTCTGGTGAATCTAAACAAACTGCTAACCGCTGACCCAGGTCCCTCTTGAAGGAATGCTTATCAAAATGAGAGCTGGTTCGTCAAGCAGGTCAAGAGATCTCTAATCGCTCTCTCTTTCTCACACTCCAAACTACCACAAGCATCCAATGATTGTTTATTGCGTTTTCTCTTCAAATCCTCATTCGTCACCGGCGTTAACCAGTGTTGATCAGCAATGGCTCCCTCAAAAGTGATTCCATGTGTGATAAGAGAAGTGTTGGGTTTTTTTTCTGTTACTGGGGCGTTATGGAAAAGATCCAAATGTGTAATTTGAAGTGCCTCCGTTTGAAGCCTTTGATCTCGCCTGTTTTGCAGTGCCTCGGTTCATCATTTGCGACGTGTCGCTGGAGCCCTGTGTATTGCATAAGAAACTACTGTTGAGCGATAGGCCGTGTATGTTTGCTTATGAGAATGTGAAATTGTGTCATCTGCATAATTACCGTCAAAGAGCTCTCTACAAAACAGCCCTCAAGTCACTCGTGTATGATTGCCCTCTTTTTACAGCACCTACAAATTAAATTGGCTCCAGCGCGCTCCCAGCATTCCTCCACAAGAATTAAGAAAAACTAATTTAAACTAGATGTAAATAGTAATAATAATAATAATAATAATGATAATAATAATGATAATAATAATAATAATAATAATAATAATTGTGGTATTTATTGCAACCAAATCAAATGACCAAATGACAGCCATGGTTTATCTGTGGCTGCAATTCTCCTGGTGTTTGCTGTTGAATTCTGGCCTATTCCGAGAGTGTGTGTGTGTTTGTGTGTGTGTGTGTGTGTGTGTGTGTGTGTGTGTGTGTGTGTGTGTGTCTGTCTGTCTGTCTGTCTGTCTGTGTGTGTGTGTGTGTCTACGGAAGTCAAGCAGAGGTGAGTTTATTGTTTACTGAGACTCTCTTTAGGACGGAGGGGAGCGGCGCCCTAATGCTTTTATGGCTACGCCAGTTTCCCGGGTCGGTGTGAAAGTGTAAAGTTAGTGCATGGTGCGTTTTTGGTTGGAGGCAGTAGCCTAAATCGGACACGGTCCTTGGCGTAGGTGGAGTGGTTGGTGGGGGAGGTGTGGGGTGAGAGGAGGGGACGTCCAAGAGACGTGGTCCCGGGGATGAGACACGTGTCCATCAGGACCCGGAGCGCTGCTTAGCGGACACCAGCAGGCAGACACCTCGCTGGACTCTCAGATTTATACTCACTTCTAACGTTTATCTACGGCCCAGCCATTCTCTCTCTCTCTCTCTCTCTCTCTCTCTCTCTCTCCCTCTCTCTCTCTCTCTCTCTCTCTCTCTCTCTCTCTCTCTCTCTCTCTCTGTCTCTCGGTCTCTCTCTCTTCTGTGACGTTTGGACGTGATTTTTTTTTTTGGCTCTTAAACTTCACTGTTTTCGTTACATTCATTATGCTGCTGCGTATCTAAATGTCAGATACCATCCACTTATCTTTAACCACCCTTCACTTCACTGTCTACCCCCCCCCACCCCCCCCCCCCCTCCACACCACACACACACACACACACCAACACACACAACACACGTGATCTGGGTGTGTACGTGTGTTGTGTGTGTGTGTGTGTGTGTGTATGTATATGTGTGTGTGCTCGAGGAAGTGTGAGCGTACTATTGACTGCTATGTAGTGATTACCATTCCGGTCGGATGGCACCAGCAAGCCGCTGTAATTAATAACCCCATAATCCGGGTTGGGTGGATGTCGGCGAAGAACACACACAGATTCAGGACAGAGTTTTACAGAAACAAGGCGTATCCGTATGGGTAGCTCCATATAAGAAATTACAGCTGCTATTATCCCTCCCAGACAATGATAACTATCTGCTTCAAAAGAAGATTAAAGGTTTATACAAGTTGAGAGTTCTTGGAAACCGAGATCGCATTATCAAAACTAAACTGAGATTGATGAGATTTCATCTCGCTGTCAATAATACAGTAAGACTTACACCATATTCAAATAAAGTGCGTGGAGTAATAATTCAACCTCTGTGGTTGTTTTGCAAACGATTAACAAAACAGATGCTGGTACAAAGTCGGGTTGAAATGCGATTATGGGTTGTCCCCTACACAATTTGATATATTGATTCATGGAATTTCAATTCTGACTCCCTTGTTTTGTTTTAATCCGCATTATTTACAAGAAACATCAGGTTGCATCAAAATTATCAAATGGATTCCTGAAGGTGCAGTCTGTCCGGATGATCGTTTTGTTTTCAGTGGATTAAGAGCCTTTATTTAACATCATGAAATTATTTGTAGACGTAAGCTTTTCCTCAAGCAATCTGTTTATTCACGCATTATTATTATTATTATTATTGTTGTTGTTATTATTATTATTATTATTGATTTATTATTTATATTTATTTGTTTTGTTTTTTTTTATTCTTGCTCCATGGAGTCAGAGTGTTTTTTTCCCAGAATAAACATCTCCTCAACCCAATCCACTAAAATGTTTATTACTTATCATTGTTGGTGCTTTACACTCACTCTTCATTAACAGTGTAATGCGCCTATCAGCAACTTTCTCTTTGATGTCAAGTGGCTACATGCGACCCCGTTTGATGTCTCAAATTAAGGAATGAATTGACTCGGATTCGCCGGCCACCAGGAGCCCATAACACCTCAGAGCCGGTGTAAGAAAACACAGCTTGCATCCAGTGATGTGGCGATAAATAAAATAAAAATAAAGGTGCGTATAATCTGTGATCCGGGGTCATTACAAAAGGCATGACCGCCGTCACTACTTAGAAACACATGCACTAATTATTTTGTGGCTTTTGATTTGGGTGATAAGATTTATTTGAATAAAGATGTGTGTCAGTTGAAAAAGGTGTGTGTAAACTCTTTCTCACTAAAAGAAAAATTGAGGAAAATGACTTGAAGTGGTCTTATGCTTAACCTTTACTTCCCGATTTACTTAAAAAAAACAAAAACAAAAAACAAAACAAATGTCCTCTTGTAGACGAGTCTCCGTATTTAGTTCGGCAAAGAAAACTTTCCTCTGCATTTGAGTATTAAAAGAAGACTGCAGACAAAAAAAAAAGTTAATCAGTCACTGACACCGAAAATGCTTACTGTTGTGCAACTGGCCAAAATTTGTGAATTAACACAAAGAAAAAAATGTGGAAGGACAGACGCGAGCAAATAACAAATGAAATAGATTGGCGAGCCATAAAATGAGATTTGAAACCCCATTCAAATAAGAGCTCGCGACGTCAGCGCACTTATCCGAGAGAGAGAGCGAGTGAGCAAGAGGGAGAGAGAGAGAGAGAGGGAGGGAGGGAAGGAGGTAGGTAGAGAGAGAGCGAGAGAGAGAGAGAGAGAGAGAGGCTGCTGTGTGGTGTGTATGAGAGGGGTGAGATTTGAGAAATAGGAGGGGCTTCTAAACGACTAGAAATGTCAATCTGAGCAAGGGAGTCCCAATAATCTAAAGCAATCTGTAAGGACCTGACCTTAGTCCATCCAGATCAATAGGGAAGTGAGGGTGGAAAGAAGAAGAAGAGGAAGAAATAAGGGGCGCAACCGGATCGTTTACACTGGCTGTTCCAGAGGAAATATAGACTTCCCTTGCTTGCACCTTTTGTTGCTCACATGCTCACACTGTAAAAGTGGATATCGAGGCAATTCCCTTGCTTTGTGAGATTGCAGCAGACTTTTTTCCCCCCCTTTTCCTACCAACATGTCTTTCCCTCAGCTGGGATATCAGTACATCCGACCGATATACCCGCCGGAGCGCCAGGGGATCGCCAGCAATGCCCGGGCCGGGACAGAGCTCAGTCCGTCCGGCGCACTCTCCAACGTCCTCTCCACTATGTATGGATCTCCTTTCGCCGCGGCAGCGCAGGGCTATGGAGCGTTTCTCCCCTACTCTAACGATATATCCATTTTCAACCAATTGGTGAGTCACTTTGCTCATTCTCAGGTCATCCACAACTTTTATGTTACATTTGAAAAAGCAAAGAAATAAGAGAAATGTTTATTGGCACTTTTTTCTTTTTTACGTGTAAACTTTTGGAGCGCCGTGCTGAACTTTGTCGTTGGATCTTTTGTGAAATTGAGTTAAAAGTGGTTAAAAAGTAACGCATTAACACAGCGTTAGCACATAATTTCCTGAAACTGATGACAAAAGAGTTAATGAAATGATGTAATGTGCTGTGGGAGGTTCACAGGTATAGTTGAGGTATAACTGTGTAAAAGTAAAGTCTTGTTCTTGCAAGTGTTTGATTTAAAAAAAGTTAAAAACGTTTTTTTTTTCCTTCACTTGTGAAGCTTGTGGGACACAAATAACATTTTATGTTGTGACAAAAAAAGACGTTAATCGTTTTGTTTGTTTACACTTCGATAATAACCCCATTGTTGTTTTATTACCGTAAATCCACATGCCACATTGTGGGGCATGGTTATATTTATCATGAAGAAGAATAAAGTAGGTTATCCCATGATATTAATATTTTAAGTCTAATAATCCCTCTGACTCTCTGATTCTTTGTCTTTGCAGGGTGCTCAGTATGAACTGAAAGACAGTCCCGGTGTCCAGCACCCAGGGTTTGCCCACCATCACCCTGCTTTTTACCCATATGGCCAGTATCAGTTCGGTGACCCGTCCAGACCCAAAAACGCCACCAGGGAGAGCACCAGCACCCTGAAGGCCTGGCTCAGTGAGCACCGCAAGAACCCCTACCCAACCAAGGGCGAGAAGATCATGCTGGCCATCATCACCAAAATGACCCTCACCCAGGTGTCCACCTGGTTCGCCAACGCCAGGAGGAGGCTAAAGAAGGAGAACAAGATGACCTGGGCCCCCCGGAACCGCACCGACGAAGAGGGAAATGTTTACAGCAGCGATCACGAGGGGGAGGAGGGGGACAAGAGGGAGGACGAGGAGGAGATCGACTTGGAGAACATCGACACGGAAAATATTGAGAACAAGGACGACTTGGACGACCAGGACGACCTGCATTCAGATATTAAACTAGACGGGAGGAGTGACTCAGAGATTTCTGACGGCTATGAGGATTTACAAGGGCCCGACCAGAGGTTTCTAAAGGCTGTGGGGAAAGATGGCAAAGACGTGGAGAGAGGAGGAGAGCACTTCCACAGCCACCACCACCACCATCACCACTCTTCATTGGACATCAAAGCGTCCCAACCAAACGGGGAACAGCTCAAACTGAACCCGGTCTCCGTTAGCTCGCCGCCCTCAGAAAACAACCCTGCGCCAGCCCAAAAGCCAAAGATCTGGTCTTTGGCAGAGACAGCCACGGCCCCTGACAATCCGCGCAAATCGCCACAAATGAACGGCAGCAACTCCGCAGGGCCGGCCGCCCAGACCATAATAGCCCCTCACAGACTCATCTCTTCTTGTCCCGTTGGGAAAATCCAGAACTGGACGAACCGAACCTTCTCGGCGCATCAGCTGGCTTTACTGAACTCAAATCATTATCTGGGACTGGCAAACCAGGCCACTGCCACCGGCCTGGCCCTCTACAGCAGCAGGCAAACGGAGGACAAGAGTCATAGTTCAGAGACTCCAGTCACAGGTACATGTCCCCGACACTGAGACGCGCATGTATAAATAGGCCTAACTACAAAACAAAGACACTAGTCCATTGCTCGTCATTCATTTCTATTATTTTAGACCTCCTTTTTGCCTTCATGGATTTTTTTTCTGTCTCTAGGCCACACAGATGAACAGTGTTACAATGTTATAGCTTACAGAGTACAGTGTATGTGTGTGTGTGTGTGCGTGTGTGTGTGTGTGTGTGTGTGTGTGTGTGTGTGTGTGTGTGTGTGTGTGTGTGTGTATGTGTGTGTATGTGTGTGTGTGTGAATCTGCTTTGAAAAATGTCCGAGAGGAGGATGGAAACCTCATCAGAAAGCATTTAAGAAAACGTGGAATTGGGTGAAAACTGTTCTTAATTTCTGTGCCCCTTCCCTTCTTTTTTTATTTGGTTATTGTTACATCCATGTGATATTAAGGCCCATGTGCTTGTATTTAATGGTTTACATAAAGCCCCTCAACACATTAAACTCAACTAGTCTTCAACACTAAATTTACTGAAACCCAGGATGGGCTCTGATCACTTAACATTTTAATTTTCATTGCCACAGTTTCAGAGAGATCTTAGTGCCTTGGATGCAGAAGAGAAGTTGTTAAAAACAGCTTTCCACCCAGTTCAAAGATAGTGAGGCTGTCAATTAATGACATTGGGAATTTTCTTTTAGATGCCATATCACATTTTCCTTTTTAAAACGCCATATTTACCCGTATTAGCTTTTATTCTACGTTTTGTTTTTTTTATCCCTGTGTGTGCGCTTGTGTTATTTCGTCAAGGCCTATGTTGTTACACTTACTTGTTTGGTCATGCAAATGAGCTCAATGCAAATTCACTACAGGCTGGTTTTTGAAAGGCAATTGTCACTTTTATATCTCTTTGTGTTTTAGCTCTTCATGAGGCTATTATTAGTGTTTTTTTAGATCACTATTTTTTTTTTTTTTTACCCCTGTATATTCCAGGCCTCAGAACCAACTAGAAGCAGCGATGGTTCTTTCGGCTCTCTCTCTCTCCATAAACCCTCACCCATCCTCTGTTTTTTTAATTTTAATTTGAATATGGAATGTAAAATAAGAATAATACATCTCTGTATACTTACGTTGTAAGCATGTCCTGTGTAAAACTGCTAATGTAATAATGTATGAACCTGTAGTCTGTGAGTTTTTTTTTTCTTTTTGTAAGTTCTGTGAGGATTTGATGTTCAAATGTTTTGTATATAAAGTTAAGAATATGTATATACTTGTGAACCAAATTGTACAAGAAAGTCTATATTTTGGCTAATAAATGAACTGCTGCAACTTTAAGAAATTGTTGCTTTTTGGCCGGGCCATTTTGACAGCTGCTTTTGATGGTGGCTGTTACTGTGCATTGCAGTTTGAATTGCACTGCTTTGGTTTTTTGTGTGTGTGATAGTGGACAGCCTGAGGCACAGACTTCATCCTCCGTGGCAGTGATAAGTAAATATTCGAAAGGGATTTATCACACTTTTATAGTGGAGGGACTTAGGGCTAATTAGCCAGTGTTGCGGCATATACATTTGGATATTCATGTTGTGGGATTATCCTTATAGAGGCGCAGCGGTCGCATTAAAATGAATAATTCCTTCATTCATTTTGGTCTGAAACTGTTTGGTCTACAACGAAAACTTTCGGTAAAGAATAACTGTTAGAGTGTCGTTGGTAGCCTGTTTGGTCAGAGTGGTTCAGCTGATCCTAAAGATGGATTCTGGCTTTGCAAAGCGTCTCCCACATCTCATCATGCTCAATTTGTAAAGCTTGTGCTCCTCACATATATCATACATTTCCCCCAACTACGGCGGCTCTTTGGTATAATTGTAATATATCGTCGCCGTATAACTAATAATAACATCATTTATTTTGTTTGCCTGTGATGTGATCATTTGCATGTGTGAGCCCTTATCACAGGAAGTTTATGTAAACTTAGTGTTGGAGCTCCCTCTACAGTCTCTTGCAGTCGGCCATGTTCTGCTGCACAGACACACACACATTCAGCTCATGCAGTCTCAGTTTTTTTTTTTTTTTTTTTTTCTGTCCCATTTCTAATTTATCCATCAGTTGTGATGTGAAATTCGATAGTAACATTTTGCTCTTATAAATCTGTCACAATATCATACCTTTTTCACCTGTTTTCAAGCCTCGATGTGGTGATTTCATGATGTACACACGCAGTACATCTTTCATTATGAGGCAGATGAATTATTTGCAATGCTTCAAAAAAAAAAACAAGCCTAGATTTTGTTTCTAAAAAAGACATACAATCTTCATTTTGACCCAAAAGTTTAAAAATATTTATTAAAAAACAAAGAGGCGTTTTGAGTTGAGGTCACAAGCAACAAACCATTTGGTATAAACATTATACATTCACCAAAAAGCGCAATAAAACAAAACTGGTAACGTAGACTAAATACATACAATTTGGCCTTTTTTAACACTCGCAGTTACTGAAGGATTTAGAAAAATCGTTTATGCTGCCATGCGTAACGTGAAGAATACAGGACTTTTCAACTATCCTTGAAAGCGCGTTGACTCGTTTCCCTTTTTTTTTTTTTTTTTTTTAAATCAGACACAATGAAAAATAAAAGAATAAAAAAAGAGAGAAAAAAAATCAGTAGTGGAAAAACGCTGTCAATATTCCTATTATTCAAATTTCGCCAAGATGATAAAACATCTCCAGCCTTAAAAGACATGAAAGTCTTACTCATGCAAATTCTTATTTTTCATCCGTCTTCTTTAAAAGCAGTCAAAATATATTTCAATGTTTAAAACATTCTCAAATGTATTTTGGCAGACAAACTTTGATTTTTTTTTTTAACTTACTCTACTCTAAACGAAAAGCATTCCTTTTTTTGTTGATATTGTAATGTTTTCATCATTATTTATTAAAATCATATTTCATTTCTTTTCATAGTTTAATTTTTAAAGGACTTGGATTTATGATTGTGTTTATATTTAACGCCGCGCACACACAGTCTGTCACACATTCCTCGACTAGACTCAGATGGTCAACGAGGACAATAGCTTTTAATGTCTGCGATCCAGGGCAGCAGAGGCAGATGAAAAGCGCTGATTCGCTCGAGCCGTATCCTCTCTAGGTTTAGGATATGCTTTAAACAAACCCCAGCTCAGCCGAGGGAGAGACTGCGGAGCCTTTTGCAGCTCCTCTCACCATGTTGCCTTCCTGTCTAATCAATTATCTTCCTTGAGAGCCCCATCTAACCGCGCGATGCATATTCATAAGTGGCATCAGCCAGCTGATTGATGTAATAGCTTTTTTTCCCCCCTTTTTGTAGATTCATGCCCACTTCCTTGAAGGAAGTAGCTTTGAATGACCAGCATTACACTAACACTTTTATAATTACACAATAGGCTACACAGGAAAATGAGGTGCTCGTATTGGATGGTACAACGAATTAAAATGTTAGAGTTTAAAAAATGCCTATTAATAAATGTAATTGTAAATCAAATAGCCACCTATAAAAACAAATTCCAGTCATTAAACGCACCACTTTGATACTACTGACCATGACTTTTATTATGAAATTCATGTTATAAAGATTTATGTCAGCCTAAAATGAATAAAAGAATATAAATAAAAGATGGACTGTAAGAGCAGCTAGCTGCATGTGAGTATCCTGGAACTTATCATAAATAAGGATGCTTATTTCCTCACTCTTCACAGGATGTTTGCTCCTGAGGGGCCCACAACAAACCCCCGCTTGATCATGAGGATTCAATTGAAATGCTACTGAAGGGCCAGTGATCGTGTCTAGAGCTCAGGGCCTCTCCTCTGATCGGTCCATGAAATTAGGGATTAAAATGCCTCGGCAGAAACAAAGTAATCATGCCTGCTTATGTCGCCATACGTGTCCAACCTGCTCCCTGTTACAAAGAGCAAATGGAATGCATTAGCTAACATTTTGCTCTGAGCTACACAGGGACCATTTCCAGTGGGGCATGGTGTGTCACTCCTTTCCTCGCACGTTAAGTGGATGTTCTCCTGGCTAATGAGCAATAATCAACACTGACTCCTCTTCTTATTTCTGAGGTCCATGCTGTGTTAAATGCTCAGAGTCTGTGGGGCACACTGTAGCGCTGTGCTACTCAACTGCCTGAAAAAGCACAGGGCAATCTACTCCACGCAGGGTTGTAAGAAAAGTAAAGATAGAATTAAAAACGTTAGGCGCATACTCGCTTCAGGCTAGAAAACAACTACAAAATAATCAAAATGTGACATCATGGATTTTTCAGATTCAGATGTACCACATTATAAAGCAATAGAATCTCAATTATACTCACTGTCTTGTAATTATTTACTAATTAATGGATAGTCCTGCAGTATTAAGAGTGTGGGAAACACAGATGCATTTGACACTGCAAATAATTTGTACTTCATTTTCCATCTAATCACATGTTGTCCCATTTTGCCCTCAATACTCTGAGACCAGGCTATATACAGCTACGTGGGTGAAAAAGCAATGCACTGTTTAAGAGCCATTTAGAAGTGGAAAAATCTGAGAAAGATGGAATCATTAAAAGGAAATTTAATCTGTCTTTCGAAGTGTTCATTGATCTGGGAGAGGGTGGACGGCAGTGCCAGGCGGCTGAAAGGGTCTGGCCAATGGAGCCATCAGAGGACCATGTGTGAATGGGGAGAAACCATGGAGTAAATAAACACTAGAGTGGCCCAATGGAGGGGGCCAGAGGTGCCCTGTGAAAGAGGAGGCCGCTGCAAATAAAGAGGGTCAGTCTTGTTTTTTCACCTCATCCACCTCTTCTGTCATTGTTGCCCCACCACCAGTGCCACCTCCTCCTCCTCCTCCTCCTCCTCCTCCTCCTCCTATCCCCAGCCTGGACCATTCTGCCACACCCCCTCCTGCCACTGAGACAGACAAATGTCATCTCCTTTGTGGACCTAGTCAGGCTTAGAAGCGGCCCACTGTCTTTGTGCGGTGGACTAATCCTTTTATGAGCCACTGTTGACCACCACCCCCCCAAACCCCACCCCCCCGTCCCAACCCATTGCTCGCCCAGGCCAAGAGAAGGGTTGCCCTTTCTTGCAAGCACTAGGCCTGTGTGTTAGCTGACCGCAGGAGGAGCTGGGATCTGCTCTCGGGAACACATGTCCCACACACCACGTACCTTCATACGCACGCTTACAGGCCGCGGCACTCCACGGCAACTTGTTACA